ACAGACAGACAGACAGACAGACAGACAGACACACACACACACACACACACACACACACACACACAGAATGCCTGAGTCTCATCACACATCTGATACTGTAATATTTAACGTTACATCTCCATTATAGCTCTGACTGCTGTTGTTGACACGGACTGTGAGGGAAGGGTTCGTGTTTTCGTCTCTGACGCTTTCTGATTTATATCTGACTGTAATCATCTTTAATAAGGCTGTAGATGTGTCTGCTGTGGTGACTCGCTGATGTTTGTGTGTGAATGTTGATCTTGTGAAGAGTGTTAGCGCGGCTAGCCGCTAGCATGCTAAAGAAAGCGCGTGAGTTTCCCGCCGGTGATCGGTGATTGACAGCGGCTGTCTCTTACCTGACGCTCGCAGAACGACTGACGCGCCGCTTCGACGCACTAGAATCGCAGAAATATGAACATGATCTGATGATGATGATCGCCGCTCTGATGTCAACACAACCTGCGCCACATCCGGGTCACCTGTGCGCCAAACACGATCACTTCCTGTTAGATGCAGGATCGGTCCAGCATTATTTAAAGAAGTGCACTTTTAATCGACACACTCCCATGTTATTATGAAACTATGATTATTTTTATGAACCCATGATGACGTTTCTATGTTGACAGCTTCATTATATTGTATGGAAATTCCTTTCATTTGTAAACAAAAATGTTCCAAATACAATATAATCTAATGTTCTAAAAATAATAATATAATATAATATAATTTCAACATTTCCGCTTTAATTCAACTCTCAATTTTCATCCATCATTAAAGATGTGATTTAAGTTTAATATTGTGCTGTTTTGACTTAGTTCTTCTATTGTATTATATTTGAGATATGAATGAGATCTCTCTGTTCATCTATGCATTTATAAATTCTGCAAAAATTAATAAAAATAATCTATAAAAAGGAAGAATGAATGATTATTTAATCCTAGCACATTCTTTAAAAAAAATACATATTAGTTCAATGTTAATTTGTAAATGTAAATACATATTTAACCTAATAATAATCATAATAATAAATTATTAGTAGTAGTATTTGTATGACTGGCTATGTTGCTCTATTATGCTCTTATGTTCTTTTATGTTTTAGGATTAGATTAAAATGGTTAATAAAAGAGTAAGTGTGATTGATCAAGAGTTTTCAAGACAGCAGGATATCAGTGAAGAAAGAAAAAAGAAAGACACTAATTTGAGTGTTTCATGTGTTTATATCTTATATGTCACAGAAATAGTTTTAGTGTGTGATCAGATATAATCAGATATGAGCAATGAGTTTATAAAATATATGAAATACATACCGAATAACACCATCAGGTGCTGTCAGGTGTTTCATGGATAGTCATTAACAGTAGTTTGAGTGTTGTCTCTCTCTGTCATTACACTGCAAACATTCTCACTGCAGATGCTTTACAGCAGAATCTGGATTGCTTTGTTTCTGAAGGTTGCATTTCTGTGCTCTGTGGGTTAGGTTAGGTAAGGTAAGGTTAGGTAAGGTAAAGGTGGATTCTGTGCTCTGTGGTTGTTGTTGGGCGGAACTAATGTGCGCGACGCTGTTTCCGGCGGGGCTGTTTTTCCGGCAGCGCGTGACTGAGTCAAACATGTCGAGTTCCTACAAAAACAGGTGAGAAACACAATCAACACGCAACAAAAGCGCCTTTTCACTCAGACACACACACTTTACCTCATCGACATTCGCTGCAGAGAACATTTACAGCAGACGCGCGAAGGAAGCGTGCTGACACCGCTCAGGTGTGTGTGTGTGTGTGAGTGTGAGTGTGTGTGTGTGTGTGTGTCAGACAACATTCAGCTGATTTCATATCAAACATCAGACGCATTACAGACAGATATCGAGTGTGTAATACCACCAGACTCAATCATTACTCCATTCATGTACCATAGTATTTACATGCCACTCCAGAGTACTGTTATTTGCTATCATCGTGAGTTATTGTGGTCATTGTAGAAATGCAAGTCAAGTCAGTTTTATTTGTACTGCACTTTTAGTAGAAGGGCAGAGACCAGCTCAATGCAAATGACTGTGCATGCAACATAGGGTGCAAAAGAAGGAGAAACAGAAGGTGCGTTATACAGTGAGGTATGTAAATAGCATATGTTTATATATGGCCAATGATCATAACAGTGCGATGGCATCCGGAGGTAGAAATGTGCAAAATAACAGAGGGAATAATAAGAACATTGTGAGTGACAGGTTATTGTACAGTGCAGTGTTGTTATTAAGCATTAGGTGGTCTATCTAGGATGTAGTGTTCAGCAGGCTGACCGCTGAGGGAAAGAAACTGTTCCTGAGTCTGCTGGTGGGACAGCGAAGACCCCCGATGGGAGAGGAGTGAGCCGTCTGTGATTGGGCTGAGAGGAGTGTTTGATGATGCTTCTCACTCTGCTTAGGCAGCGTTTGTGCTAAACGTCTTTGATGGAGGGTAGCTTGACACCAGTGCAACGGTAAAAACACTCAGAGTTCTAAAGCAGAACATCATATTGTGCATGTTTGAGTCACATTATGTGGCAATATAAAGGATCCGCCGGTTTGAGTGTGAAATGCCTGTAAATGAGCGACAGGCTGGTGAAAGTTCAGAATGGAGTCTGGCTTTAACCAGCTAGTTATGAGCTTTAACCAGCTAGTTATGAGCTCGTGATGTTCTCATGCCATCTTTGTGTCAATTGAAATAAAAGTGTTTAATGAATAAGTTGACATCTTCAGCTGAGATGTTTCAGACTAGGTTAAAGCTTTCTTCCTTCTGTGGAGCACAAAAGAAGATATTTTGAGAAATGTTTTTGCTCATATGATAAAAGTCAATGGGGTCCATGCTGTTTGGTTCTTTAAATGATCTTCTTTTGTGTTCAACAGAAGAGAGAAAGTCACAGAGGCTAGAATGCTGGTTTTGTCTCATCAGGCCGTTAGGAAGCATTTATCAATCTATATCTCATACTAGCTTCTGATTGGAGGGTTTGATCATGTGACTGCAGATGTCGTATTGATCTTCAGTTCTGCGTTTCCTCAGGAATCGGCGTCTGTTTATGGGAAGGAGAGTTTGTGTTCGACCCTAAGCTCCAGAAATGAATATGAAAGGGTTTTCTTGCATCTTATAGACTAGAGGAACATCAGACAAAGATCTGTGCTTGTGTCGTAATGTTCATGTGTGAGTTTATTTTTCTCTTTAGATTCAGTGAGAACGTCTGGATCCGAAACCCTTGTGTTCTTCATACTTCATACACATTAAACTTTCTGCAGTTACTATGGGAAACGGCGGCATTTTCTTGTGCAGCATACGGTTTCTTCTCGTGTGATTTTGGGCTGAGATCACGTGTGTGATCACACACTCACAGATCTCTCGTGTTCCTCAGGATCCAGGAGTTTAAGGCAGCTCTGAGCGACCAGAAGATTGATCTCAAGGCTTTGCGTGAGCTCTGCTTCAGCGGTAGGTCCTGTGTGTGTGTGAGTGTGTGTGTGTGTGTGTGAGTGTGATTGTGAGTGTGATTGTGTGTGTGTGTGAGTGTGTGAGTGTGTGTGTGTGAGTGTGATTGTGTGTGTGTGAGTGTGATTGTGTGTGTGTGTGTTCACCGTCTCATCCGTGTCTCACAGGGGTCCCGTGTGAAGGAGGCATCCGCGCGCTCTGCTGGAAGGTCAGTGTCTGATCTGAGTCTCATGTGAATAAATGAAGAATCAGAACGATGCAAATATTCTCCTGCATTTTTCAGATCCTGCTGAATTACCTGCCGCTGGATCAGTCATTATGGGAGGCGTTCCTGAAGAAACAGAGGTTACACACACACTCACTAAGATTCTCACACACACACTCACACTAACAGACACACGCACACTCACTCACTCACACACACACACACACAC